TCTGTGATCTCCATGCCAACCTTGACGCCCCCTGATGCGATTCCTCCACATCGCAGACATGTTACACATCTCGCGTACATGGGATTGTGTAAATGTCCTCCCTGCTTGCACGACAACCCTCATGGACGTTTCTCGTTACGGCGCCAGACATTCCACGTTCCCCTTGCGTCCCTTGAACCAACTTTGACGCCTCGCGAGGCCAGCCGGCCGGCGCTGCTGACGAATGTTGTTGCCATGGTCTGAGTGGATCAGAAACCCTTTGGGTTCGTTCATCGGCTAGTCCCCCCCTCCCGCGCGCTTGACGAAGGGTCTCGACACAGACCTGTCAAGTAGCTGAGACCTGTCAGGAAACCGAGACCCATCAAGAAGCCGAGACCTGTCAAGAAGCTGCGGAGTCATTTGCGATAGAGAGAAGAAAAAGTCCAAACCCTTCTTCGGGTCACCCGACGGATGTCTCACATCGGCGTATCCCTCCAGGTCGAACGCATAGCACACCAGCGGGCACGCAGCAGACACTCAGGCGCGAGAGCCCACGCCACATGGCCCATGCAGTCTAGGCCTCTGGTGCTCGCTTCAGCTTGTCGGCTGAAGCGCGCAGTAGCTCGCCGGCCTGGCGCCAAAAGACGCCGGGACCATGACCCATTTTGGGTGCGAAGCCCCGTCGATAGGCGAGGGCGCCATGAGGGATGACTGGCGGAGAAATGCAGCAGTCGTTGGCGGGTTGGCAGGAGCGGGCGTCTGCCAGCCGTTATCAGGAGCATCAGTGGCTTGCAGGAACACGTCGCCGACCATGCGAGATGCTGCCTCTTTATTTTTGTCTTCTTCTCTTCGTTTTCTCTCCCAAGGCACGTAAGGCGTCTCCATGCGCGGCAAGGGAGGGAATGCCCCAACAAGCTTACCATCGGGGAGAGAAGACAAGCGCAGAAAAAAAGAGACATAAGAGGGGAGCCCATCGCATATGATCGTCGCTATGCAGGTCGGAACAATGAGTGGTAGGGCGGGAGCAGCCGGATCCTCAGACAAAGGGCAGGAGATGCAAATTCGGGTCGCAAACAAGCATTTTCTCTCCTTCTGGGCGACCCAAGATCAGGGGCCAGGGGCGAGCGGGGGGGGGGGATCTCCGAGGGCCGGCCCAATGCAGAACGTGCACATTTCCCAGTCGAGACCCGGCACCTCGGCCCCTGGGAAGGCCCCTAAGAGGAAAAAAAAAAACCCCCACCATGACTCGGAGGAGCGATATCGTCCTCTGTTCAGTGGAAAGATCCCCCGGAACCCCTGGCCGTGGCGCCCCAGAGGCCCAACTGGGGCACCGGACAGGCCCTAACGAGGCCCCCCCTGCCTCTGTGCCTCAGCCCCAGGAACGGCGCCCTTGGCCCCCCCCTGCAGCACGCCAGCACGCCAGCACGTCCGGCCGGCACGCCAGCACCACGTGGGAAAGCTTGTCACGCAACGCCCAGTTCGCCGTCTGCCCTTGCCCAGACCTCGCACTGGCCCCGCTTCCCTATCCTAGCCTCGTCTTTGACAACTGCCGCTCTTCCTGGCCTACCTGTCTTCCAACGACTCCCAAAGCCAACGCACACCATGCAGGATCCACTCGTTCGCCTGATTGTGCTCGACTGGGACGATGGCACGCTGAGGCTATCGATTTCTTAGCGTTAGCGCTCGATCACGCCGACCTCCCCGATATCGCGAATGCCCCCCATGGACAGCCCATGGACCACGACATCTCTGGCTCCTGTCTGGCTCCTGTCTGGCTCCTGTCTGGCTCCTGTCTGGCGCCTCGGACGCCTAGCACGATTTCCAACATGAGACCCAGGCACAGAAACAGAAGCCTTACCGGCCACCAGATTGGACAGGTAAACGGGAGGCTAGCCAACGAGAGGCGTTCCCAGCTATGCGGTCCC